AAATGACTAACATACATGATGGATGGACCATGGTGGCCCTGTAAGAAAACGTGTGCCCTTTAGTCTGACAGCAAAGGAGGCTTGCACAGTTTTTACTGAGTGCTCAGAACTGCCTTCCTTTTGCTTCAAAAGCTTAGTTATGTCCTGTTTCCAGATACAGTAAAATTCTTTTGTTCCTTTTCCCCCACTGTATTTTCAGTTTCTTGGGTAAAATGAAAGAGTTTTGATCCTAGAATCTAGGTTAGTTTATGTTTGAAGAAAATTACCGGATTTTTACATTTTCAAGATTATTTTCTTTTCAAAGTAATTTGTTTTTAACATTTTCAAAACTTTTTTTTTGGTAAAAATAAAATAGGTTCTAGTAGGTAACATCTGCTTACCATAATTATTAAAATTTTCATATTTTTGAGATTTGTGCCTTAATTGAATTTACATCTTGATAGTCAGTTGTTGAGAGATTGATAATATTGGGCAGTGCAAGTTTTTACTTAATACTTTATGACAGAACTCTTTTACTTGAAGCTTTTGAACAATATTATAATCAAATTTTCTAAAAGACAAAAAAGATTCCCCTTAATAAATAGCTCTACAGATTTCTTTAAGCCTCAAACCACTGCTCTGAGACTAAAACATGTGAATTTATTCTGCTAATGGGAAAAGTAAACTTCTAGTCCCTCTACTGGCAGTGTTTGTCCTAGCAGAGCTTAATTTTGTTTTTAAGGTACTGGGTAATTATAATAAAGGCTATTTATAATTTTATGACCGAGGTGAATATCGAGGGAAATATTAATGAATTGCCCCCAAATTGAGTAACTTTATAGCCATACTTTAGAATAAAAATGTAAAATAGTTGCTCTTAAAAACAAGGATTTGAGGGACCAGCAGTTAGCGTAATGGCTATGGCTATGTCGCTGGACTCCCACGTAGTCGATCGCGGTTCGCATCCCGGACCCGGTGGCTTAAAACCTCGCCGGGCACGTGTGCGTGCCCAAGATCCCAAGAGGAGAATGGAGGAGAAGGGATTGCGGCATGACCATCCCCCCTAGGGGGTGATTTCTCGCTTTCTGTCTCTATGTCTCTCTCTGTCTGGCGAGCACACGTGCCCTATAGCGAAAACCTCTCCAAAAAAAAAAAAAAGAAAAGAAAAAAGGATTTGAGAATTATTAAACCACAGAGCCTTGGCACTAGAGAACTAATCATATTATATTGCAGTGATTAAATGATAACTAATTGAGACTTGAAATGTCAGCATTTTTAGTTTTATTTATTTATTTGGAGAGTTTTTTTTTTTTTTTTTCCCCGCTATGGGGTTTGTGTGCTCCCGAGAGAAACATAGAAACAGAAAGCGAGAAATAACCCCTCAGGGGGGATGGACACGCCGCAATCCCTTCTCCTTCATTTTCCTCTCGGGATCTTGGGCACGCATGCACACGCGCCTGGCGTGAGTTTTAAGCCACCGGGTCCGGGACGCGAACTGCGGTTGACTACGTGGAAGTCCAGCGACATAGCCATTACACTAACTGCTGGATCCCAACATTTTTAGTTTTTTTAACATGAAAAAATATCTTAATACTGATAGACAACTAAAACAGTGTTTTAGTTTATTGTATGAACAATAATGTTGATAAAGATGTCAATTATTTATTATGCAGCCACCAAGAGCAAATCTGTGAAATGCAGGTGAGAACAGTGCAAAACTTGTATATAAGAAAACTTAACTCTAAGAAGTTGCAATGGTCACTTTCTGCTACTTACTTAGAAATGTATGCTTAAGTAAATTTGTTAGTTTCAAACATTTATATAATAGAGATAGGGATTCTTCTTTCATGAAGAAATTAACTTTCTTTTAAGTATAGACTACATTAATTTATTATTCTAACTTTTATAGTAACTGTTGTTTTTCTTAATATAATTCTTGACTAAATTCTTTTTCTTTAAGATTTTTTTTGCCTTAGGTGCATGCGGTCTCTAGAGAGACAGGGAGACAGGGACAGTTAGAGGGAAAGTAAGAAATCACCCTTCTAGGGGAGATGGCCACTCCCCAATCCCTTCCCCTCCATTCTCCTCCCAGGATCAGGCAGATACTCTTGCTGAGTGTGATTTGCAAGCCACTGGGTCTGGGACTCAGACCACAGTCGTCCATGTGGGAGTCCAGCGACATAACTGCTATACCTTCTGCTGACCCTGCTTTCTCAACTTATAAAGAGACCTTACACCTGGCATAGGGGATAATAGGAACAATGAGGTTTATCATGTTTTTCTGTATTTTTTCTTCCTTTGATTTTTAAGTTTTATAAAATTTAAAGCTATTCGAAGAACTTGATATTATTTTATGTATATACACACACACATATATACACACACACTCTTAGAACTGATTAAAGTCATATAGTAGTTAAACATAAACACTGTGATGTGCTGTGTCTATGTTGGAAAAAGTATATTGATTTATACATTAAAAAACGGGTAGGTATGAAATTACAGAACAATAGAAAACAAGTAAAGAAATAGTCCTGCTATAGTTAATTTTACAGCAGATAGATTATAGTAAAAAAACTAAAGCCCTGGTTAACACCATTGTTGGGTGAATGTGGTACAATGCTGATAGAATTGGAGCCTAGAGAATTTAGTGTTGCCAGTAGGATCCCCAGGGACTGCAGAAAGACCTGATGATTTAAGAGTTTGAACACCTTTTTAACAACTCTACCAGTTGTAGCAATCTCTGAATATTTTACTTCTCCAGGTTTTTTAAGGGTTAAATGAGATAGTGTAAGTGCTTTATTGTTATCAAGACTGCTATATAGTAATAGCCTCTTTGGAGAGTGCACTTTATATGTTGTTATAGTAGAAAAGTTTTAGCTAAAAGTTTTATTTTAAGAAAAAGTAACTGTGGGCCAGCAGGTGGCGTAGTGGTTAAGGTGCTGGACTCCCACATGGTCAATTGTGGTTTGAGTCCTGGATCTGGCAGCTTGCTTTCTCATTTTCCATTTCTCTGTCTATTTCTCTTAATCAGGTGAAAAAAAAATAATGGTGACAAAATTAAATAGATAAATTATTTTTTTAAAAAAGAAAAATAACTTATTATAGTGTTTAAATTTAGCTTAAATTAATTTTATTAACTCAGACTTTTTGTCAAGTTATAATACAATGCAAGTTATAGTGTGGTTTTCAAAAAAGTGTATTAGTGTATTAGTTTTGAGTGGGCATCATCATCCATAAGGCTCTAATACATGGTAGATTGTTGTTCTTTAATTACAAATGACTTATTATGTGAAAGATAATTCTCGATGTGCTTATTCAGGAATAAGAATGAATGGATGTCAGACTTTGGGTTAGAAAATCTGACTTTGACTCATGTTAAAATGTGGAAGTGATACAGAATGCCCAGTACGTGCAAATATTTGATCTCATGCAGTGGTGGCTTTAAGAGCTTTGCTGTTTTATTTTTGAAAAGGTAGCAAGTGAATAAACATAGTTTTAGCTTAGGGTGAAATGAAGATACAATATATTTGACAGTATTAGGGTTTTTATTTTTTTTTTGGTGGTGTGTCTTATCAGTTTTTGTCCCTTGCATTCTATTGCTTCTGCTACCATTTTTTTTTAAGTTTTTATGCTGTACAGATTATTTTTCATTATAACTCCTATTTTAAAAAATAATTATTTCCTTTATTTTATTTATCATCATTGTAATTTTAAATTTGGCCATAGTAAGACACAAAGAGAGAAAGTGAGAAAGCAAGGCTCCAGGTCCAAGATGCAAACCGTGGTCAGCTATGTGGGAGTACTGTGCCTTTAACCCCCACACCACCTGTCAGCCTTGCTATCATTGTTTTTATACTTGTCTTTCCAAGCATTTTTAATATTATTTTTAGTTTTGCCTTCTTATCTTAGTTGTTGTTTGATCAAGCTCAGAGTAGCCCCAGTATTTTCATGAGATTAGCTCTTTTAATTAATTTATTAATTTATATATCTGTCTGTCTGTCTGTCTATCTACCTACCTATCTTTTCTGTGATTTTCTAGCCGCTGGGTCTGGGACTCAAACGTGGTTTGCCATGTGGGAATCCAGAGCCTTAACCACCACACTACCTGCTGGCCCCCCAGGTAGTATGGTGGTTAAGAGACTAGTTCTACTAACTTGATTAGCTCTTACAGTTAATCCTTCCTCTCAGATACCTAGCCACTTGTTCAAGATATTTGATTTTAGGTGGATTGTGCTAATATTTACCTATTGTCCTCCTTTCTTCTCTAAGGAAGTTTCGTAGAAAATACTGTCTTTTCATCATTGTAATTTGCAGGGTCCTTAAGAAATTAAATATTTAGTTACTTATGAGGGAGGTCTTTAAAAAGTTGATGGAAATGTGTGTTATGTAAAAACTATGTATGGAGGGAACCAGCAGTGAGTATAATGGCTATGTCGCTGGACTCCCATGTAGTCAACCGTGGTTCACGTTCCGGACCCAGTGGCTTAAAACTCACGCCGGGCGCGTGTGCGTGCGTGCCCAAGATCCCAAGAGGAGAATGGAGAAGGGATTGTGGCGTGACCATCCCCCCTGGGGGGTGATTTCTCACTTTCTGTCTCTATGTCTCTCTCTGTCTGTCTGGCGAGCACACGCGCCGTATAGCAAAAATCTCTCCAAAAAATAAAAAAAGAACTACGTATGGATGCTAAATTTTTTTGCACCGAAATAAACTCACATTTTAATTTATTTTTCCAAATCTGAAATACCTTTGTGAATATAAATGCTCACTGTAAAAATGAAAACAATGTAAAAATGTATAATGAAGTAAAAAAATTCACCTTTTTCTTTGATAGTACATCGTCAGAGTTAACCACTGTTTAGTTTCCATGTTCTCCTAAACCTTTTTCAAATGTATAAACAAGTATAATACCATATGCAAAATTTATTAACAAGAAAAGGGGACTATTGGTATTCTATTCTGAGAATTGGCTGTGATCTTTCTGTTTTATTTTGTTTATTTATTTATTTTTTTATCATAGGGAAGAAATCCTTTTTTCTTGGAGCCAGCAATAATTATTACAATTACTGATGGGAGTAAGTTGACAACTACTAGTGGCGTCCAGGATGAGGTAAGTTGTGTTCATATCACATGGATTATGCAAATGCATTTGCAAAGTCTTGATATATATAAGCTCCGTAGGCTATTGGACACCTTTCGTAGGTTCTGTATTTGATGCACCTTTTGTAGGTTCTGTATACAGTCATCTGTCTCCAAGAGTCCATTTTCCTTTGTTGTTGTATATTATCTTGATTAAGAATTTCTTTAGTGAGAGATTTTTGAGCCTACTTTCCACCCCAATTATGAGTTTATGTGAGGTGATAGTGTCAGTCCATATTATAAATACCAGTAAAATAAATTTTTATTTTCAGGTTAAGAAAATGGAAACAATATTGTAATTTCTTCTCATATATCACTAGATTGTCATGTGTATTTCACTGTGGAGACTCTTAGACTTGAGTATAACAAAGCCAAGAGGAGAGGTTAAGACTAGAAAAGTGAAGATCTTGAACATTTTTATTTTATCTAAATCAAATGCAATATGAATAGTTTATAGCTAACCTTTTCTATACTTTTATCAGCATACATTATGCAGAGTTGTTATTTAGTGTGGCAGGGGGGGGACAGGAGATTTTTAAAATATTTAAGGTGATTTTACTATAGTACTTGAACTGCTCTTGAATATTGTATTTGTTTTTTAACATATGCTGATATAGAAAGGTGATTATTTAAACTACCTTGTTTTCTGTTTACATTTGCTTCAGAATCTTAATTTTGATTTGTATAGTATTTTTAAGGGTTTGACTAAGTGGAGGGAAAGTATAGTCTTTAAGTTCGGTAACTTAGAATTATTTTCATTTACGTTGACTCTGTAGAATTTAAATTGGACGTGGAGTCTGGATATGTGGGGTCTGGTCTTGGTCCACCTACTTTTTAGCTGTTAACCTTTATACCAGTGCCAAAACTGCTCTAAATCTCTCCTTATCTGTGAAATAAAGATAATAATTCTTGACTTCATAGGATTGATGGAAGTCTGAAATGAAATATTATATGTGAATCTACTTGGTAGACTAAAAAAAGGTACATAGTATTGTTCTATCACAAAGCATTGGAACTAGTAAAGAATTGTGATTGCTTGATCCTAATTTGAGAGAGCTAGAATTGTTTTGTTTGAACAGTTGATATTAAAGGGAATTTATAATATAAGTTATGGAGATAGAGCTGAAAAATTGTAGGTTATAATTATGGTTTATAATTTAAGATGATCTGTTTTAATAATTTTAGATTATAATCCATAATTAAGTAATTTATAGTCTGTATATAATTATCAGCCTTAGAATGTTCCATGGCTGAACTTAATGGGTTTTGGGGCTTTCTTAGACTTTGTTGACATGCCACTATCAGAAACATTCATTATACACATAAACAATACACGTCACTTTGAATTTGAAACTCTCAAATTGATTTTTTCCCCTCAATAGAACCCATAATAACATCTTCATTTAACTTTATTTTGTATGAATTAGAAGTCTTTTGATTTATTGTTTTGTTTTTACCTTTAATGATTTTGGTTGAAGAGTTATTTGTTTTTTGTTGTGAAATATTCCTGCATGTCAGATTATTCATTCAAGGCATTCTATTATTGCCTCTGTTGAAATGCCCTTTGGGGTACAGTATATTTTGTTCGTGTGTGTGTGTGTGTGTGTGTGTGTGTGTGTGTATATATATATATGGATTAGTTATGTTTGTAAAATTTGTTTTGCGAGACCCATCTAACTTAAAATATCTTGAAACATGCATGCATTTGGGAATTGTACACCTTTCTTCCTAGGTTCTTCTTTGGTAAAAATTTTGGAGAAATGTAGCTGTGTGTTTACAGTAACCCAAAACTATGTCACTAGTAAGGTTGGAAGTATATTTTTGTAAGCAGAGGTTTTACCTTTAGTTCTCTTGTATCTTCTATAGTGTTTAGCACAGTACTGAGAAGAGAGCTTATAGCCATTCTGTCATTCATCTTTGTTTAAAAGTTTATTGATTTCATCTATAAGAGCAAGAGGATAGACAAGCCTGACAGTTTTCGTGCTGCGATCCACCTCCTGCCTTAGCTAGCCTGGATCACAAACATATATACATACACCCAGCATGCACAGGGAGGCCCTGGAATGCAAACTCAGCATCTATGTAGGCCCAGCATAGCATTATTACTGTGCCACCAGCTGACCCCCAGAACTTAATTTTTTTTAAAGTTTTTTATTTTGCTGGTACGGATATTCCTTTATTTCCTCAGAGCAAATGCAGGAGCTTGGGCCATAGCCGTGCCTGTAGTTTCCCTCCTGTATAAAAGAGGCATGGCCTCATGCCTGGGGCACAAGTCAGGAGCAAGCAAAGGCCACTACTAAGGAAGCAAAGCTTTCCCTTTCTGCCTGAAAGATCTCCCAAGCCCTCTTCTGGAGATTGCTCAAACAGTTGAACTTTCTACAAAGTCCAGCTGTAGGCAAGACTTGACGTGGGGTTCAAGGCAGGCTTCCTTCCCATCACAGCCTCTGACGTACCTGGGGTGGCAGCCATTGTGTAGAATGTGATCTAGATCACTTTCAGGCCCCCTACAGTCAGTCCTTTGATGGCAGACAAGCGCCCTGGCCCCAGGTCCTTCACCATCACTAAGACATGGGTTACACCCTTCCCTGCAGCAGCTATGTCTGCTGTCTGTGCTGCAATGCCAGCTCCCATCTTGTCATTCCGGAACCCTTCTGTGTCACAGGAAGTATGTGTAAGGTACTGGTTAGCGGCAGAGATTACCTGTGATCTGTGTGTTGTAGGATGCTTTGATGTGCGCGATTGGCATCTCTTCAAATTTCTTTTCTGCCCACCTCAATGAGCACTCCCGTCCTTGAACTGGAGGGTAAATGCTGAATCTGCAATGGCTCAGGGTTACCACATTTGCAACTTCTTGCTTGGCTGCAGGTCTTGTAGCTCTTGGGTGCTGGTGTGCATGATCCTGTGGGTTTGGATCATCACCTGGTTCATCCGGACCCTTGATCGTGGACGCCAAGTGGACGTCAAGACTTCGTGCTCCTCGCAGTCTGCGTGACTTGCATTGACCCCTAAAAGTAATGTTTATAGACATTGTTGTATAGACTCTGATAGTTAACTAAACTCACAATTTATTATTTTGCTACCTTTTTTTAAAAAAAAATTATATGAGAGGGTGTGCGCATGCGAGGGTGGGGGCACCCACCACAAGGTCTTGTCATATCTGCTTCCCCAGTTGGCTGGTGGCTTCTAGTTCTGCAGTTCATTATGGTACCCACCTGCACCACTCTGACACTGGTCCTGTACTGCTACTTCCTAGCTGAGGTTGAAGTTTCATTTGTTTTAAGGCAAAGGCTTGTTTTGATTATAGAGACAAGAGGTGATCAAGTATAGGTATGTCTTGGATTCTCTTGCATGTTTTTTTCTTTAATGTCCCAGCAAGATGAATCTTGGCAGAGGGAAAATTACCCCATATGTGCATATTATTGTTTCTTATTTTTTTATTACACTGTGAATTATTGTGAAATATTCAAATTTCAATAGTTAAATTGTTATTTACTTTGAGGAATCATTCAATTAATAGAAAAGCATGAACATGCTTTTTTATTGCTATTTTATATGTGTATGATGAGCATGTGTACATGTGCTAGATATGATCTGTGTTGTGGTTTCTACTAGGAAATAACAAACAGAATTTTGCTTTTTTATCTCTTGTCTCTTCAAATTTCTGATCTTTGCTTTTGGCAAAACTTGATTCTCTTTGGGACCAGCAGTTAGCGTAATGGCCATGTCGCTGAACTCCCATGTAGTCGATCGTGGTTCAAGTATGGGACCCGGTGGCTTAAACTCACGCCGGGCCCACGTGCGTGCATACCCAAGATCTGAGAGGAGAATGGAAGAGAAGGAATTGCTGTGTGGTCATCCCCACCTGGGAGTGATTTCTCGCTTTCTGTCTCTGTCTCTCTCTGTCTGTCTGATGAGTGCACACTCCCTATAGCTAAAAAGCTCTCCAAAAACAAACAAAAAAACGAAAACACAAACTTGATTCTTGTTTAGATTTATTTAATGAGTGCGTCAGTAATTTCCACATTAGGGATGTGGATGTAGGTGTGTAATCTTGGGTTGGCTGTGGCTGCTACTAGTGTGACCTGTTACTATTTCTAGAGTTGTGTGTTCTATCCATCTGATATCCTTTGCTCAAGAACCATGTCATCGGACATGGTAGATTTTATCTTTTGGTGCTATTTTTTAGGTGTAT